TAAATAAAACTAACAAATTAAGTGCAAATACAGATTCCCGTGCAAGAAACTGCACATGAAAAGCAAGATATTTAAACTTTTAATAGTTCAAAAAAAGAGAAAGTTCTTCATATGTGCCTTGGGTTTTGATTGTTCTTTCAATTGTTCTTTCTATGAAAATATATGAAAACATCATAAAATAAGATTATGAAGAGAAATCATATCAGGAATCGAATCTATTAAATTCCAAATCTAATTACTTGCCACTGAGTGCTTTTTCCATCGTGTTCATATTGTCTTTGGTTTCCCTTGATTTTTTTGCTTGGTAAATTTGACCACGGATTTTCATGTGAAAGCTGGTAAATAAAATTTATAAAGAGAGTAGCACAGAGTCGTAACTCCTTATTTTTATTTGGGGTTTAATCTGATATGCAGTATTCTAATATATATGTATAAAAGTACATTGTAATTGAGGAACCATAGGCAATTGTAAAAAAAGGAAAGAGATTCTTATTCACCCTTTACATGATGATCTTTCCATACAATTTTTCTTTTTTAAAATTTCTACAACTATCCTATTCATGGAGTATTATTTTGTTTAGAAATTGGTTCGCGATTTCATTGGAAACTCTTCCACTCTTGCATTACGTATTGGCATATACATACATCATATTTATTGCATGTCAATTTCCACATGCACTTGTCAAATGTGATCAAGAAAATGTAACTAAGGAAACTTGTAAGCAGTTGCAAGGAAGTGATGGACGGAAAGGATTGAAAAACTCTAATTATTTTTTACTTCTTTATAAAAGGTGCAACATCAATTTACATACATCATGCTTATTGCATGTCAATTTCCACATGTACTTGACAAATTTGGTCAAGAATATGTAACTAAGGAAACTTGTAAGCAGTTGCAGGGAAATGATGGACGAAGAGGATTGAACAACTCAAGTTATTTTTGACTTCTTTATAAAAGGTGCAACATCAATTTACATACATCATATTTATTGCATGTCAATTTCCACATGTACTTGACAAATGTGGTCAAGAAAATGTAACTAAGGAAACTTGTAAGCAGTTGCAGGGAAGTGATGGACGGAGAGGATTCAAAAATAACTTAAGAAACTCTTCAACTCTTGCATTACATATTGGCATATACATACATCATATTTAAGGCTACAGATAGATGTCAATGTCATTCCTTGGGCTTTTTGGCCCAGAAATAATCATTGACAAAATGAATGAGGATTGTTTCATACAAGACCAAGTTGGCAGATTGTATATGATTAAAATTACTGGCCATATACCGTAGACATTGCTCATTCGCTGAAATGGATTCAAACCATCACTAGCTAAACCAAGACTAATGTTGCGGGAATCTAAGGCAAAATCAGGGTATCGTTGATCAAATTCTTTCCAAGCTTCACCATTAGCAGGGTGTCTAAGTTTTCCATCTGTAGTACAACCTTCATCATGCCATCTCATGTCAATAGAAGTTTTAGATGACATAGAAAGTCTTTGGAGCCTAGGTATTAGAGGGAAGTAACACAAAATCTTTGCTAGTTTCATTTTTTTTTTTTTGGCAGTTTTACTTGACTCTTTTGGTTGTTGGCTTTCATTTAATGTTTGGGACCACTTAAAAGTACCACAAACTTCACATGACTCTAGATTTTCCTTATCTCCTCTAAATAACATACAATCATTAGGACATGCTGCATTCTTTTGATAACCTAAGCCAAAGGACTTAAGGAACCTTTTTATTGCATAAGCAGAAGCTGGAATTTTGATTTCAAGGAATGCTTCATTCAATAATTCTAGAAGCATGGTAAAGGATTTACCAGACTAGCTATTTAGGCATTTCATTTAGAAGAACCTAACAACAAAAGAAAATTTAGAAAAGGTTTTGCAACCATGATATAATAGTGTATTCACATCTTCTATTAGTTGATTAAAAGTTCTAGTTGCTTGATTATTTCCATGATAAAGCCTTTCTCCCTCTATCATACCATCAAGATGTGATGCATGTACTCCATCATCATCTTGTTGGTTGTCTATAGGAAAGTCATGAATTCCAAGAGCATCTTGTACTAAGGCTTCCATCTCATCATGCTCTTTCTGAATCAACATGCAATTCAGAAGCCTTTTGGGGGGGAGGATTCATTTTGCACAAAAAATTGATCAAAAGAAGATAATGTACCTTTGCAAAAACCCTCTAGAGATTAAATGTTCAACTTCATCACATGTTAACAAGTGACAGTTTGTACAATCTACATAGGGACACATAATAAAGTTGCTATTAGAAGAATTTTGCCTTGCAAAATTAATGAAGCTCTTAACACCGCCACTATATTCTTTAGACAATGGTGGTTTGTTAATCCAACTTATATCCATTAGAGAAAAATTTAACCATCTGAGATTAGAAAAAGAAGTATATCAGGATGAAGTTCTTATTTATAACTGTTCAGTCACTTTAACAATATTATGACTACTAAAAGAATGCCTTTGCCAAATCATAGCTAAAACACTATCTAATCTTAATAACATAAATTTAAAGCACTTTTCTACATAGAAAAACAACAAAAAAATTCAATGTGGTTACAAAGACAATAATATCATATATCATTTTTCCTTTATAATAAAAATTGAAATTCTAACCATTAAAATCTCACCAATCAGACTACAAAATAGACATTCATTGCCAAAAACAAGCAAAAAATAGCACAACAAAAAATAATCTTTCATTTTCTCAGTAGCCAAAAGACTAGTTACTAAAAGAATCAAAAGAAGCAAAATAATGCAAGCTAAGCAAAATTACAAATTACCACTCAATCTCCTAAACACTTCAATTTTGGATTCAACCGAAAAAATAGAAAGAAAAAACTAAAGGTAATTGAAAATAAATTTGAGTTATTGCAAAATTGATAAGAGACCTAAGTAATGCAATTCTAAGTTCTCAGAATGATTACCGAAAAAGAGAGGGAGATCAGAGTTGCAGAGGTTGCTGGAAAATGTCAACACTGTCACCGGAGTCGAGTAAAAATTACCAGAGCCTTGGTTGTGAGCAACACCAAGCCTGGACTGAATGCACCCAATCAAAAAAACTGCATTTAATTGAACATGCAATTATAAATGAGGATAACTGGAAATGAGAATGAAATCAGAAATGAGGATAATCGGAAATGAGAATGAAATTGAGGAGAACCTTCAATTGGAACTTCAGAGAAATTGGAATTAGAATCGGAAATAACTTGTGGAGAAACTCTTGGAATCGAAACGGGAATGAAATCAGGGTTGGCTTTTTGGGAAGCCCGTTCCCACCGTGCTCACGGCCCTGCTGGCCTGCCAGCGGCTGGTCGAAGACTTGGTCGGATGCAAGATCTATGACGGTAGCAGAGAGTTTAATGGACTTCAAAGGAAGTTCAGATGGGATCGGAATCGAAATTGGAATTAGAAATGAAAATGAGGTTTTTACGTGCAGAAACTCTTGGAAAATGCTTTCTGGCAAATGGAGAATGACAATGTTTTCTAGAAGGTTTGGGAAAATGCTTTCTGGTTCCTTAGTTGTTTTTTATTTTATTTTATTAATTCTAATTTTAGTTTAGTTTCAGATTTGACGTCGTGTC